ATTCTTAATAAAAAAAAAAAAAATCTATTTCTTCATGTATTTAATTACCTAGTGAGTGTAAGACTGAATGAAGTTAATACCACGCAGATTTCAAGCAAAACGCTGCTTTTTAATGTGCTTCAGTATAGGCTATGCACAAGTCAATAGACATGATTTTTAAGCTTCAGTTACCTTTCATTACTTTGTGCATAGTCAAATTCAGATTGATGAATGCTGAACCAAAAGCAGACATCATAGAGTTAATTGAAGTTCTTTAAATTCAGAGGCAAACTATTTTCATAGCTTTGTTTTGAGGGTGGGTTGCTTTTGATGTCTGGGGTTTTTTTGGCTAAGGCAATGGCAAACATTTATTTATCCAGCTCCCTCCCCATTTTCCACCATCGTTGTTGCCAGTGATGCCTGCAGTGCTCAGTGGTCAATGACCCTCAGCCAGGGTGAGCTGCAGGAGCCTTACAGACGGGCCTGTTCTTTCTCCCAGTGCTAGAACAAGTGCAACAGCACAGTGCCATTTTGCTAAAAGCTAATATTTTTCCCAACAGGTTCTTCTCCAGGCAGAATGAAATGCTTTCTTCAAGAGCAACCACATCTTTTCTCTGCCTGAAAGGTTGTGTTTGTTTGGGGTTTTTTCTCTTGCCTTAGGTGAGAGATAAAAAAAAAATGAAGAGGAAAGCCCAAGGAAATGCCAAAAGTACCACCTGGTAGTAATTTTGTGTGAGTGTCTCCATTTACACTTCAAACTTGCTCTTGGAGAACTTGGAGCTGCATTTAAAATGTATTTTGGTAGGTGGTCTGCTGCTGACTTGTTGCTATCCAGCTCCCCGATGGGACCCCTCTGTCCCACCCCCCGTGGAGCCTGCTCGTCTCTGGGCACAGGCGGCGGAGGGGGTCCTGGAGTGGATACAACACGGACTCAAAGTATCTAGACACAGGAGGCTCAAACTTGCTGGAATAATCCCGGGTTTATTGTCTGTCGTCCATCCGGGGCAAGAGAGAGAGCGAAATGCTCTGGGTCTTATCTCTTATACCAGGGGGCAGGGGTGATTAGGGGATGCAGGGAGGTCACAGCCAATGGGAAGGGGGGGGAGGGAAAGAAGGTTTTCAGGTAGGAACTAACATTACACAAACCAGAGGTGAGTTTTACCCTTGGGAGGTACCAAGATTTCTAGATGCACTACAACACTGACTATCTGCATTTCTTCTTCCATTTCTTTTCTGTGCTTGTTTGGTATTGCTGCTGAATGTCCCCAAAGAGTAAAGTGGTGTGGAAGAGTTGAGGAAGCAGCTTTTGAAATTCTAAAGCTGATGTGTAGGTTTTGTTCCTATTGGATTTTTAAAAGCAGGTATGTCATCCAAGTTAACTTTCTTCAGCAAGTAACAAGATTGTCGTCCATCCACTGATGCTCTGTATTTTAACAGAGGTATTTGATGGTGCTGGAAAGGAGCAAGATGCAGAATGAGTTTGAGAGAAGTGATTTAAAGTGGGAGCACAGATGGTTGATTCCTAAAAATCAAAAAACGGATGTTTTGTTTTGTAGGAAAATGAAATCTAATCCTATTTGAGGGTCAACAGGATAAATACAAAGAACTAAATACAGATGTAGATATATATATAACCCCCCCCCAGAAATCCATGAAACAGGACTGATTGGTGCCATAGCCCAGGCAGCCTGTGGATCTAATTGCCTGCCTGAATTCAGCTCTTGCCTGGATGCCAGGGGAGACGTCTCTGGATTTGTCTCCAGACAGCTTTCCAGGGATGATCCTGCTCCTTTCCTGGTGCCCCAGAGTGCTGCAAGCCCTCCGTCCTGGGGCCATCGTGATGCCTGCCGGGGCCTTTAGGGTCCCCCCTAAAGTGCAGACAGGGTTTGACTGCAAACTTCCTTGGAAGGTGGAGGCAGGTGAATATTGTCCACATTCTTCTTTCCTGCTGCCCTCCGCCCTCTTGCAAAGCCTGCTGGGGCACTGGGGCTCTCCATTGCAGGCGGTCTGGAGCTGCCATGCAAAGCCATCTCCCAAGGAGTCCCCAGGTCTCAGGTGCAACCTCAAGAAAATGACACAGCAACGTGTAGAAAACGTGAACTTTATTCACTTGACTACTTCTAAAATCTACAATCCAACGTTACTAGAAGACTATGGGGTAAGAATCTTAAGACTAAAAAACTTCAATACTTCAACTGTTTAGAACTGAACACTAAGGGAAAGGTCAGCTTCTTGGGGGAAACATGGTGGGGAATCATACAACAACAGGGGTGTGGCTAACTTGTAAGGTGGGGAACGTTGCAGTGCCTGGGCTGGGCACTGGTCACCCGTTCCCCGTAAGGTTCTGTAGACGGAGTGCGACGCTGGAGGTCAGAGCTGTGGGGAGGTGCGGAGTCTCCTGTCACTGCCCTCTTTTGCCACCATCTTGGTGGTTGGCCTCCTCGGCTGAGAGCTGTAGCGAAGGAGCAGCCGCATCAGGTCACGGTTTTGCCTGAGCAGCTGCATCAACTTGGTGGGACAGCCGAGTCTTCGATGGCGGCGGGGCCCCGCACGGCCCGAAGGGCTCTGGAGATTCTGCTACAAGGCAAAGCACAGGGATCCCCATGGAAGAGGCAGAGGGGCGGAGCGGGGCCGGCACCTGTGGGGCTGCCTTTGGCCTGGGAGACAGAGGCTCGGGCTGAGTTGGGCTGGGTTGGCCTGGGGAAGAGGCTGCAGCAGGCAGAGCTCTGCTGCCTCTGCTTGGTGCTGTCCTTGGGGCTCAGCCCCTGGGCCGCATTCCCCAGCCAGGAGCTCAGGCCCCTTCTGCCGCAGGGCATTGGCCAAAGGGTGCCCAGGAGGCCCTCAAGGTCTGCCCCATCCCGCCTGCCTGACCCCTCACCCCATGCCTCACCTCTCGCCAGCATCTCTGAATTCTTCTTCCAAGGGCCCATCCATGGCCATTCCTATGAGGAGCACGTCAATGAGCAGGAGTGTCCTGGACGCCCACCAGATGAGCGCAGAGTCCGTCTCCTCCAGGTTGAAATCCTCCGGAACCAGAGGAGAGGCATCCGTGCTCCTCTCGGGTTTGCTCACAGGGTCGAGGGGATGGGCCAAGAGCAGCAGCACGTAAAGCTGCAGCAGCGTGGAGGAGCCGTGAGCAGCCATAGTGCTCTGCCAGCAGCACCGAGGCTCTGGGCGTCTCTCTGCGAGCAGCTGTGCCTGGGCTCTGGGGCGCAGCAACAGCTGGGGACAGTTGCCAGCCAGCGTGCCGTCCCCAGAGGCTGTGATGTCACAGAAGCACAGAACGTCCTGGCTGCAGAGAGCCCTGAGAGAATGTTGAGTCCAAGCTGTGAGCCATGGCGGCAAGCATGGCCAGCAGAGCGGGGCGCGAGCGCTGTGGCCTGGCTTGCCTTGCACCCGTGCCACAATGATGACTCCAGCAGCCCCCTGTCAGGCCATTGCAGTATCTAATGGCCCACGCTGGGCACAAGTTCTTCCCAATGGCCAGCGTAAACCTCCCTTGGCCCAGCTTCCAAGCCTTGTTGGCTTCTGCTTTCTCTTGTTCTTGCCCACCTGGCTGGCGCTGCCGTGTTGCTCGCTGGCCTGTCTGTGGGAGAAGAGGCTGTGCCAATGAGTGCTGCTCAACTCTGAGGCCATTCAAAGGAGGATTTGATTGTGCCTGCTGTGGGAAGAAGGAATATGCGTGCACATGGCCACTTCCCATAGGTTTTACCCCAGATTTTCATGAGCAGCTGTCCTAGTGAAAGTCAAGTCTGTTTTAGTGAGTATTTGAGGGCTTCCAGAACACAGTGCCATCTCAGGGGAATTCTGCTGGTTGAGTTCTACTGAGGCTTTGAGATGAGTTGCAAATCCTGAAAATGTTCTCCTTGCCGAGGTAGTAATTTCACAGTTTAGACTGTGGGGATATTGATTGCTCAGTGTTGAGGACCTCATGTAACTTTCAGCCCCAGAAATTTTCAACCTCCAGTGATTGTCCTTGAGACAAAACCATTTGAAATCTTTTTTTCTGTGGACAGGAATTGCTTCGGTGTTACTTCACATCATCCATTAAAAATTTGATGCCTGGAACAAGTCCCGAGTGCTGTGTGATTTCCTTGGTCATGTTCTTTGGAATGGCTTCCCCCCCATTTTGTGAAGCTGGCCCCAGAAAGGTCATAGATGGGTGAGAAGTTCTGAAAGGCCAAGTGGTGTAGATCTTTGCCTCCTGTTTCGAGGTCTGTGGTGAGGTGTGAGTCAAAGAGCTGATTTGATGTGATGTTGAAAACACAATTGAAGCTTTTTGCAGCAGGGTGGATGGATAGAAGCAAAGCACAGCATGGCTGGCAGCAGCAAATGAATTAATATGCATCCCTGGAATATGTTTCTTGGATTGTTCTTCTAGTATTGTGGTAGTAATTCTGATGTCTGAGTAGTGAACAAGCAACAAGTAGTGAACACGTGATTTGTAGTCAATATTCTATCTCTAATGTAGTGAAGAGATTTTTAAGAATTTTGTTTTTCTCTCCTGGTTGAGGAATGTGTTCTTCACGGGCTGAATCTTCGTATCACTTGGTTTGGTAGAAGAGCAGTTTCAGCAGCAGATGATTCTCCTTGCCCTCCTGTTCATTTTTCTTGTCTGTATTATTGCCTGGCAGGTTAACCTTTTCAAATTGCGTGCTGCAAAATGTTGCTACTAAGGATAGTTGGTGTCCAAACAGGTTCTTTTCTTGCTTGGATTTCAACTATTGAAAGATGAAAGGTTTCTAATGAAGCTACAGAATTGCATATCACTGGGACCTTGACTTCTTCCCTGCTTGGATGTAGAAAAAGAGATTAGTGCCAATTGAACTGCTGACATATTATGTAGAGATCAGGAGTGGCCACCACAAGTGGTATTGAATTCTTGGAAATGTGGTGATTTTTGTTAGAAATTATTTTTGCTTTGACAATGCAAGCTTATAAATGTGGTGATTTTTGTTAGAAATTATTTTTGCTTTGACAATGCAAGCTTATCATATCCATCTGCATTTGTGTTCCATTAATCATGGGGTTTTGTATTAACCACGGGCTTCAGTTTGCTGTCTTTTTGTCACTTCTTCAAATACCAGTTTTGTACACTTGCTGGCTTGTTCCTTCTGACTTCAAATGGTATCTCTTGGGCATATAAGTTCATCTTACTGTGAAAAGCGCAAAGAACATGTTTTGGTCTGTCTTGATTTGATGGACTGATTGCGGTGGAAGGACTGGGAGGTTTTGTGGTTTAAGGTGAAAGAAGTTCAGCAGCCTTGGCAAGTAAGTGTGCCAGTTTACAAGGTGAATCTACAGAAACCCCCGTGCTGCAGCTGCAATGTACAATAATTGAGGCTGCTGCTGTCGGGGTGCCTTTTTTCTGTTGGTTTGGAAACCCATATTCTACACAGCATCATTTGTCAGAACTCCATTTCACTCATACAGTCCCTCTGTTTTCCCAGTTCTGAATGATGTTTTTCTCTGTGCCTTTACCATGGGGAATTCTGGGTGATAAAAATAATACACATTCCATAATGTTTTACGTTTCCTGTTGGAGTTTTTCCTAGTTTTCAAATAATTACCTTTTGTTTCTATCTGGGGGCAAAATGCATTAGCAGTTTCAGTGGGGTTTTTTTCCCAATTTCCTTCCTTCCTTCCTTCCTTCCTTCCTTCCTTCCTTCCTTCCTTCCTTCCTTCCTTCCTTCCTTCCTTCCTTCCTTC